CAAAAGCTATGTACATATGTCCATATAAGATGATGCTAAGTGAAATGAACCCCAAGATATGGACACAAGGGGTATGTCTTTGTTGTTATTGGTATAAATATACTGTGTGACTTTTTTGTTTCCTTTGTATGTTCTTCCCCTTATGGTATATCCCCTGTTCTCACTGTACTTGATTTTGGTACCCTGCATTTGTATATACATTTGTTTAATCTGGGGAAGGGGAATAACAAAACCTTGAAACAAAGACACAGGATGACCCATTTCAACAATGCTACCCACAGAAGAGTATATTGGAAACCATCTTTTCAACTTGGCGGGGGGGAAGTGAGGAGTGAGGGAGGTGGGGAGGGAATTAATAGTGGGACAACAACAAGGGAAGAGTAACAATGATTGACAAGTAAATACTCACTGCCTTACTCCTGTAACTGTTTGTAACCCCTCTGTACAGCATCTTTACAATAAAATAACATTTAAAAAAAACAGTCTCTCTCCTATTTCCTTTGGTTTGTACCTTACCTAATTTCCAAATGCTTGCAGCTTGGATTAAACACAATTAAGATAATATAACCAAAGAGTACCAGTACTTCTTACATATAAAATGTTCACATGCATACATATACAACAAAGGTTTAAGTTTAGGCACGCCAAGACTGAAACATGTTTAAAAAGTTGAACTTAAAAATGAATAGCAGTCATCATAATTAGTAATAATGGTTTCTGGAAGTCCAGGGTCCAATGAAGATTTTGCTCAATACTCTATAGTCCAATGTACAGAGATCTTTAAGCATGTACAAACATCTAGAGTACTCTCAGACAGACATCACACCTGCCATCCCAGCGGCATTGTAGCAGGATATATATTGTGGAGTTGGCCTTTGAAGGGAACATGGTAGCCCTGTCGTGGTGGCAGAATGTTGTTGACATTTCCACAAAATCCATGACCACAGGATTTTTCCAAAGGACTTTCAGATGGTCTATATAACCCAAACTACATACAACAAATAAGCACAGGATACACAAACTGGAAATTTCCTTTATACATTTGTACCCCCAAAGGCAGAAGGCAGTGGAACCACTTTAAAGAGCTATATCAAAACTGGGGAGAACTTATTTAATATCTGATAGTTTGGAGAGTGAGAATTAGCCTGTGCTCCCATCAACAGCACAAAGGTAAGCATGAATGATGTTCCCTTGGGTAGAGGGACGACTGGCAAGTCTGGCCAGAGACTTAGAGCAGTAAAAATAAGAAAAGGAGCTTAATTCCTCAGAAAATAAATCAAGGACCCATTGGAACCTCACAAATTTTTAAATGTGGAGAAAGACCTACATCCTAACAGATTATGAACCAATGTTTGACTAGTGGCAGAAAAACTAGTCCTATAAGGTGGATAGAAGAAACCACATTAGAAGTACTGGAAGGGAGGGGACTTCCTAGGGCAGAGTAGAATGGAAAAGAGTTGAGCATCAGCTAGAATATTCTGAACAGGCCTGACACATCTAAGCATCCCTACTGGACTTCAAGATCCCGAGAAGCACATGAAGTCCTGGACAGACAGTCTCAGACCATTTAGAGGTATTATGGTAGAAAATGTCAAATATGAGTGCTAACAAGGCCACTTTATCTGGCAGTTTGTAAGTTGGCCATACCATATAACAAGCAGTAGAACCCCACTGTGAGCCTGTGAGAATACATAACCTGCCATCTCCTTTTGGGAAGAGGGGGGCCTCTTGTCATCATCTAGACAGACCATCATCTCCCATGGAGACAAACTTCAGTTCAATTTACTTGAAATGAAAACTTGTATTCTTAGACCACAAGCCAGGAGAGCCACTCTGACAGACACTTCTGATGCCTTCTTCTATTACACTTGAAGCCACTGTAGTGTTCTCTTTCTAGCCCCTACCCGACACTTCTGTTTCTCTCTGTGTGCCTCCTATCTGTCTCTAGATATCTCTCATGACATTAAAAGGCTCATGTAGTTGAATCCACAATAACACAGAGGGAAGATCTTGAAGTGAACAACAGTAAGCTAGCAACCAAGGACATCCGTGAATAATGAGGTAAGACCATACTTGGAATAGGTTTTTATCTGAGGTGAAAGTCTAAAGAGAGAAACTCAGTCCTGTTCAGAAGATTAGAACCGCAGGGGCAGAGAGAAAGGAAGGTCCTTAAAAGGGAAAGTAAGGCTTGAAAAGTACACATCCTGGGAACATTTGAACTGTCTTTCTAACAAGGGACAAACAAGCCCAACTCTGCTGGGTATTGGAGCAGAATGAAACCATCAACTGAAATAGCTTCTAAGAGGGATAAGAGCAAGAGGCAGAACTGAGTAGGAGAAAGAAACACCTGACAGTAATGCTGTAGGAAGGCAGTAGAAGTACCTGGAGGAAATATTAAGGCAAGTCAAACCTAGATAAACTGTCAGAAGATAATATTAAGTAAGGAAAAGAAAACAGTTCTGAGCAAAAGTACATGAAGAGTGGAGGGAGAGGCATGTCCCCAGCCTAGAAAGAGATGGGGGAAGAAACAGACCTATTCCAGCACAACCATCTAGCTTGATTCTTAGCTTCAGAAAGAGAAGAATTCAGGTACAACAATGTACAAGACACTATGTCAAAAAATGAACTTTACAAGTTAGGTGGGGGTGGGGGAAATGGGGGGTGCAGTTTTAGAGGTGGGAAGACGGGATGGTAGGGGAAAAACAAAGGAGGAGGCAACAATGCTGAATAAGAAATGTACTCAGTACCTTGCTCATGTAACTGTAACCCCTCTGTACAGTATTTTCACAATAAAAAAACTTATTAAAAAAAAAACAGTGAAAGTGATAGAAAAACTTTTTAGGAAAGAAATTTACTTTCAAAAGACTGAATGCCAAGCATCTACAGGGAGAAAATGACCACAGTTATATTTTAATAGTCAAAAGAGCTAAGGCAACAATGATCATCTTAGAACATATGAAAGTTTAGTAAAATTAAAACTTCAGTGCCCATAATAAACCTTAAAATTAGTATTATTATTATTTAGTAGATATAGTAAGGGGTTAAAGCAAACTTTTTTTTTTTTTTTTTTTTTAGACAAAAGCATTTTAATTGACAGTGTACAATTTTCCAAAATATATTTTGTAAGAAAATGCAATTATATAGTCTTTACAAACAAGTCTCTCTTATAAATTCCAGTGTACTTCAGACCCCTGTCCACCAAGACACTTGTTCCCTCCATCTCCTAGGCAAACTACTTAATATTTCACTAGTAACAAGAAAACCCCTGTGAAATGGGAACCCTCTCTTCCCCAATGTTGGGTTTTCAGTAGACCTGAGGGACTCACCTAGTGGCAGCAACAAGTTGCACCCTGGTTTTGCTTGTCTTCTCTGCCGTTTCCTATCTTGTTCCCTTTGATCCGTGGCTCTGCTAAATGCAAGCTCAGTTCAGCTGTCTGGGCAGAAAGATCCAAATGCCCCGAGGAAATGTAAAGGACCAGTAGCATTACCATTTTTGCCTTCATCCTCTCCCCCATCTTGCCAAGAATTTGGGGGAAGGAATGATACCAATTTCTGGTGCCTTGAGTAGCAGACCTTCAGAGGACATTAAGTTCATGGACTCAGGTTTTAACATCGTTTCTGTCACTGCCTGTATGATTTCAAGCAATTTGCTACCTTTGTGGATAACAGAATTACTCCAGCCTAAGCAACTGACTCTAGCCCTCACTACAGTGGTACTGGGACTTTTAAAATTAAAGCCCTATATATAAGATACATACATATTTATCACCAGTTGTAATTTTTTTCATTAAAAAAAAACTGTCAGTTCTAGTAATAGACATTTACATCCTTGTTCAGAGGGGGAAAATAGCTCTTTTAACTAACCTGTTTTTCAAAGTATTCACTTTAAGCAGTGAGGGGAAAATTAATATGTGGCTGTAATATTTACATTGTCATAAAATACGAGTATGTGTTTAAACTTGTTCTTCCAAGTTTTTAGTGTATTCTCCCCACCCCCAGTGATAAAGCTCAAGCTTTCTTTAGAAGGGAAAAAGACCCCAGAAATACCTAGATTGAAGCAGACTCTAGTCTGTACCTCCTTTGTAAGCAGGAATGCTCAGTGCTGGCAGGATTCTCCCAAGAGCTTGATGCCTTCTGTGTAGTCCCACCAAACTACTCAAGCCTGTGCTTTTTGCAGCTTTGAGGAAACCAGTTTGCCACTGTAACAGCGCTAATTTCTTTGGTACAACTGATTGTAAAGTCGATGAGGCCCTGTTCCTCTTACCTCTTCTTGGTCCAGATTATCAGAGCACCGAAAACCCAGTGAAGGTGAAGAAAGAAGACTCAGAGATGCTACTGCTATGACCTATCGATGGTATGTTGCTGGTATGACCCATGATATTTAAGTGACAGCAAGCCAAGGCCAGGTAGCTAATTCTAAAATCGCGCTCAAAAAAAGCAACACAAATTAGACTTAAGTAAGGAACTTTAGGTCATCCTCAAGCTTCCTCAGGCTCTCTGTGGGCTCCGCCATGGTCATTCCTCTTTACCAGATAGCATTTCTGCTCCCTCCTGCTGACATTGGGCTTTTATCTGAAGCATGTCAGTTACAGCCTTTCACCAGTTCGAGGGAAAAGTTTTCACTGTCAAACTGCTGGTGATTATAATTCAGAACCACCCAAATCCACTGTGACAGAAATAGGGACAGAACCAAATGCTGGGCAACAAGGAAGGAAGCAGATCTCTTTCCAGAGTAACAAGATCTCTATTGACCCCAAAACTAGCACTGCTTTCTATCCTAACCCATTTCTACCTCCTAAGAGAAGCAGGGCACGTGTTTAGACCCTGGTTTGCCGTACTTAGCATCTCTCAACTCTTGGGAGACTCTGGGGCTTCCTTATTATCTCCTGGAGCATTAGAGCAGTTACTGCTATAAAAAAGGGACCAGGCCCCTGTGAACTCCACTGTTTATTTAAGTAAGCTGCCCCAAAGTCCAGAGCTGGTTCCAAGGAAGTTACACCCTGGAGCGATAGATATGTCACAAGTTGAAATTTTCATACAGGGAACTAGATGAAACTTCCCTATGTCTAGTCTGCAGGAACCTACAAGGCAGCTGACTGCTCAGCTTAACAACACTGTGCTGAGATACTGAAATGGCTTTGTGTTTCCCTGAGATGCCACCAGGAGCTAGGGAAAATTATAGTGGCCCCACCAAGAACAGAGAAGAGCAAAGCCTAGCTGTAGGCCCAAAGAATGGGAAACTGTCATGTTAATAAGATGCACTGCACTGTGTGTTCTGAACCTTCCTTTCTCTTTGGCAGGAGAAGCCAAATTAGTGAGATTAGTCTCCATTGTTCAAGCTTTGGCAGTGGAAAGCTGAATTAAACAATACTCAGCAACTTGAAAAGTCCCTGATTCCCTGTGAAACAATAATGCCCAACTTGTAGCTGTTTCAATGGATTGTCTATTGAGATGCATTTGCTGATCAAGGCCCTGGGATAGATCTGTTCTCTAGACTTGCTCTTTGACACCAGGCCTTCCTCATGGATTTACCCCATCAACAAGCAGTGAATTTTAAAAAAAAGGCATCTTGTTTTCAGTAGTTGCTATAGATTTTAAGTCCCTGGTAGGAGATATTGGAGAGTATCTTCAAGAATTGCCTTGGAATAGGCTAGTGTTAGTGCTGAGTCTCAACTTGGCTGCCATGAGCTGTTTAACCTGGGATGAGAAGCAGCCCCTTCTCACCTTCCCATCCCTTAAGCAGACCTTTCACAGGGTGTGAGGTAAGTCTCAATCTCATTAGGCAAATACAGGAAAATCAGAACCAAACAAAATCCAGAAACGGGGTGGGGGGTGGGGGAGCTAATTGCAGGGACTCTGAGATACAGTGAGTAAAGCAAGGTAAGTAAAGATGTGGGGAGTGGAAGGTAGAAGGGACACTAGAAGACAAGTCTGGGGTTGGACATGGAAATTCAAGCAGTATCCTTTGAACAATCAGATCCCACAAGACAGGATACAGACGCGTTGTCCTTCCCACCCCTTGGAGTATCATCCCCTGCCTGGGAGAGGCCTGGGTGAACACAGCAATGTGACATGATACAAACAAGCACTAGACCAAAGGGAGAACTATTTGCCACCAAGTGACCCTATGCAAGTTACTTGGCAAGTCTTTTCGGCCTTAGTCATCTCACCCACAAAATGAAAGGATTCTATAGAGGACCTCTAAACTCCCTTACATGGCTTTCTCCTCTTTCTCTTAGTCACGTTCCAGCAGCTCTGAACTCAGGCACTACAGGATTGTTTTATAAGTGGAATCTAGACATAATGTGATTTGTTTGCTTGAAAAGGAAAAAATTAAGGCCCTGGGGGATTAGGAAATGGTAATCCTCAGAGTCCCCACTCTCTCCGTCTTTCCCTTCTCTAATAGAGAGGAATTTTCCTCCTCGGTCCAAATGGCACTTCAGGTGGTCAATCGAGCTCTGATGCTGTTGGGAGGTGGTCAGCAGACCCAGTTAGAGGTGTGTATCTTCTTCCTCATCGAAGTCATCCTTAGTCAGGTTGTCCAGGGGCACGATCCAGCTGTCTCCCAGCTCCCCATTAAGGTTGACTACCTTCTTCTCTTGCATCTCTGAAGTAGTCTCCATCACTTCCAGGGTTGGGTTGTCATGGTAGCCATTCTCCACTGTCTGCAGCTCCTCTGTCAGTCGTTGCTGGTCCTTCCTCTGGGAAAGGCGCTGGTGGCAGCAGCCATAGAGGGCTGCAACAAGCAGCAAGAAGCAGGCCATGCAGACAATGGTGATGATGAGGGGTATGCTGAGGTGATCCTCATCATCTATGGGGCTGTCATTTCCCAGCTGCATGTCACTGACTCCCGCCTCCTTTAGGACATCCCACTTGTCCCTCAGCCGTTCATACACATCCTTGGGAAGCAGTTTTGTTTCAATAGTTATTCCTTTCACTGCCACAGCCTGGCTTTCTAGAACACATGCCAGCGTTATAGTGCACTCATCTTGAGCCGGATTGAAGTTGGCTTTGACTGACTGGCAGAGCAGAGAGACGAGCTTGTCATCTGGAGGACTCCCTGCGCAGAAGCTGGCCGTCGTGAAGTTCAGAATGAGCAAGTCATCACTTGGCTTTACAGCAGGATCACATTTTACCTTGTTCTTCCCAACAGTCCACGTGGGAGAGGGGGTACTGAAGCCTTGGGGAGCGGTTGGAGCCAACTTAGTGTTGAGCCCTGTGGGCTCCCAGAAAGCAGGTGTGGCCTGAGTTCTTGCTGCAGAGCTGGTGGGCTGCAGTGCCACAGAGATAGATGGTTCTGGGCTGGGTGGCATCTGGCTGAAGGGCTGCTGAGGCCCTTGAGAGGTGCCTGGCAGTGTATGTGAGGTGAACATCTCTTGCATTGTGGGGGTGAGGTCAAGGCTGGATGTTGGACTTGAGCTTGTAGTCTCCATGACTGAGCCTGATTGTCCCTCAGGAGGGCTCTCTGGGGCCTCTGAAGTGACATTAGTCGATGGATGAGGGCTTGTTGTGATGAACACATGAGGAGCAGAGGTTGCAGCCTGTGTGGTCAGCTGGTCTCCTCCCTGAGTGGTCATGGGCTTAGTGGCCACAGGACCATTACTCTGGTCTCCAGAGAGAGTTGATGCTTTGTCTCCACTCTGGGGGCCTGTGGTTGCAGGGCTGGTTGAGGCCACAGAGGACGCTGGATGCGTAGAGCTGTTGACCTCGGTGCCACTGGCGGTGGTGGGGCTGTCCCCAGTGGGTTTCTTACCCAGGCTGGAGGACAGTGTTGTGAAATTCTGCTGAGCTGCAGCTGACGTCATTTTGGGGGTTGTGGATGCTTTGGTGCCACTTTCCAGGACTGGTACTGAGACGGTCGTTGAACTACTGGATGTTGGGGCCATGGTGGCCATAGTAGTAGGCTTTTGAATGGAAGAGTTCTGGTTGCTAGTTGGTGTGGCTGTGGAGTTATCCTGGGACTGGGACTGGACTACGTCATCCTGCGAGAGCGCGGGCGACGGCGGCAGCAGCAGCAGCAGCGCGGAGAGCGCCAGCGCGGAGCGCATCGCGTCCTCGCCGCCGGCGCGGAGCAGGTGCTGCGGGGCCGGCGCCGCGGGATCCGCGCGTCCGGGCGGCGGGCGGCAGCGAGAGCGCCGCTCGGGGAGGCCTAGGCGGTCGCTCCCGAGGTCGGACGACGGCCCGGCGGCGGCTCGGGGCTCCTCGGTGGCGCGCGGACGGTCCCCTCCTCCCTGCGGCACAAGCCGGGCTGGGGCGCGGAGCCAGCAGCGGAGGACCGGCGGCGGCTGCGTCCCGGGCGGTGTCTGCGCGGCTGCGAGCCCGCCGGCCTAAAGCAAACATTTATAGCACCATAAATACTTATTCATTGTTTGTGATTACTTTTGTGCTCTAATGGTAGAGTTCAGTCATGTTTGCAACACCAAAAAATTAGATTTTGTCTTTACAGAAAAAAAATTTCCTGGCCAAGTATCCATGGCTTACATTTGTAATTCTAATTGCTCAGGAGGCTGAGATCTGAGGATCATTGTTCAGAGTCAGAAGTGAGAGTCTAAGGAGAGCAACACAGTCCTGTCCTGAAGATTAGAACTATAGGAATAGAGTGAATGGAAAAATTCCTAAGATTCTTCTCTCCAATGAAAAATGCTGAAATTCTACTCTCCAACTAACCAGAAAAATGTGGCTCAAATGGTAGAGCACCAGCCACTGGGCAGGAAAAGCCAAGTAAGGCCCCAAGTTAAAACCCCAATATCAGAAAACACACACACACACACACACAACACACACACACACATACACACACACACACACACACACACACACACACGTTTTCTGATCCTGCCGAAGCAGATCTTCTCTGTCAGGAGTACCTGGAGATAACATCATTTTATCTTATGATGATCCTAAGCAGTGACTTAACTAGCATAAGGATGTAAACACAACTTCTTTGCCTCAACACAGGGTTAATTGAGTGACAATTTATGCTTCCTTCAAATATTTTCTTTCAGGGAATGATTTATCTTCCTGCTTGTTATTTCCATATATGATGGTAAAGTTGAGTATAGTGAACTTACTTAATAAAAACAAATGGGCAAGAAGGTTTGCACTAAATTGGGTACAAGCTGATTTATTTTTAGTTCTTAGAAATATAGATTGCCATATTCTCTTAAACCTTCTCTTCTTTCTACAGTTGTTCTTAGTTTCCAGCTAAACAAACCATTCAATACCAAACGCTAGGTGATGTTGACATGAGTCTCATTTCTCTAGGTGAAGTCATCCAGTAGTTTTCTATTATATATCATATACCAGGGCTCATGCTAACTGCTGAGAACATAATGAAAGTAGGTGATCCAGACCTTGAAAAATTCACAGGTTTTACAGGTATTCGTAATTTCATGTGTCAATAGAGCAGGGAGTGAATCTCCCATTCTATGTCTAATTATCAGAGTTCCAAGCACAATGATGTGAATAAATACTTATCAAATGTAATTGTTATCTCATCATTCTCAAGACTGTATATCTAACCAGCTGTTGTTGCAGCTTAATTCCACATATAATTCCTAACAAACCAGTTGTTTACACATAAACCAGCATGATGTAATATCATCAGAATGGGAACTAGGTTGAGAATCAAAGATCCTCATTTCATATTTGTTCTCAGACTATTAATAATCCCTAGGCAATCATGTGTAATTCTTACCATTTCTGGGCCTCAATGTTTGTAGTTATAAAATTGTGAAAACAGACTAGTCTACCTAAAAACTTACTCTGGAATTGTGATTGCTTGAAATTATTTAATTATATAGTAATGCTCAATTTCTTGTAAACTAATAGATTTAACATCAAAGCTCTATATGAAACTTGAAATACAAAAATTTTCACTATTAACCTTTATCTTTGAGGCAAAATCGGTAGATCCCATGATTTACTCTACCTCATCACAAGTGTGAAAACAATCTTGCTTTTATTTATCATTCTTAGCTTTTAATAGTTTATAAAGAGATTCTCATATTCATACACTCAAGCTTTCTACTTTCTTCCTAACCACTTCCTGTCTTTCTTCCTAACCACTTGTCTCTTCTTACTTCCTTAGGTCCCAGACCTCAGTAGAAATCTTAAGACCAGTAGAGTATGTCAACATAATGGAAGAATTATAGCTTTAAATGCTCTTCCTACTGTAGAAATACCAATTCAAATTGCTATCTACACATGAGAACACTTTTAGAATGGGTAAGAAATCTTAAGGAGATGTCACAAGTTAGTGTAGAACGCAGAAATGAGGAAAGATGCACTGAAGGGTATAAGGAGGGAAGGTTCATGTTATCTTCACCACACTTCCTTAAAGCTCAGCTATGTATTGTATAGAGATACTCTGAAGTAGGGAAAAGAGCATAAAGAGCTTAAAACTTTTGCACTAAGACAGGGAATAAGAGCTCTTGTTCCCTGCTACTAGTCAAGATAGTACTTCAAGCCAGAAACTGAGAAATTAGACAAGGAAAAAAATAAATAGCATCCAAAGCCAGAAATATAGATTATATTGTTGTCAAATAACATGATCCTACATGTAGAAAACTCTAAAGATACTATCAAAAACGGTTACAAATAGTATATTCACTTAGGCTGCAGGATATAAAATCCACTTACAAATATCAGCTGCCTACAAATACCAGTTATACATTATTTCTAAAAAGAAATACAGAATCAATCACATTTATAATGTTAAAAATAGCAATTTAATGAAGCAGGTGAGTTCTACACCAAAAACTCAGATATTGATGGAAAATTTTGATGAATACACAAATTGAGTAGTATTTCATAGATTAGAAACTGTTAAAATGTTAAATTGTTCAAATTATCAGAAGGAACTTACAGATGTATTCAATCCCTATCACAATTCTGGTGATGTTTTTCACAGAAATAGAAAATAAAACAATCCTAAAATTCATATACCACATAAAATGCAAATTGCCAAACAACTGTAAATAAAAAGAACAAATCTGGATTCACTACAATACCTGATATCAAAATGTATTCGAAATTGTACTTATCAAAATAAAATGACACCATCAATAAAAACAGACAATGACCAAAGGAACACAAGTCTCAGAAACAAATTCATACATATTCAATTTATGTTCAACAGCAACGCTCAGAATATATAATGGAGGACTGTCGCTTCAATTAATGGTGTTGAAAAAGCTAGATATGTACATACAGAAGAAATGAAATCAGACCCTTATTCTCACAGTATGTACAAAATTCAACTTACAGGGGAGTCAAAGATTTAAATAATAGCATTCAAAACTTCACAATAAAAAGAAGAAAACATAGAGAAAAGTTTATTAACCTTAATCTTTGTAATGATTGTTGTATTTGACCCCGGAAAGAGTGAAATAAAAACAAAACGTGTGAATGAAATGTCATGAAACCTTCCATTCACTTGTTTCGAGAGCCCATTTTACATTCCTGTCTCTGAAGAGAATTAATATCCAAAATAAATAGAAATTCAACTCTATAGCAAGAAAATAACTAACTCAATAAAACTAAACAACTCTCAAACTAAGACAAAATGAACAACAGATAAATGAAAAAATTGGTTTCCCTTATTTGCACTACCTAGTATATGTCTGAGACAAGCAGAAAAGGTCAGATAAGTTGATGTTAGGTGAAATCAACCCCAAGATAAGTATTCAAATGTTTTTCTTTCATGCAATTGTTTCTAATGCATTTATAAGATGATTTCTTTGTTGCTTTGTATGTATCTCCCCCACGGTATAACCCCTGCTTTCACTGTATTTGATGTTGGTATAATTTGTGGAGGGGAAGGAAAAAAACAAATCATTTAAATAGGGATACAGGTGGACCCATTACAACAATGAGATGTACAAGTCGTTATGTCAAAAAACAAACTTTACAACTTTGGTGGAGGAGTGGAAGGTGGGGGAGATGGGAAGGGATGGGAAGGGTAAACAAAGGAGGAGGCTGCAATTCTTGATAAGAAATGTACTCATTAAATATAGTGAAAGCAGGGGTTATACTGTGGGGGAGGGACATACAAAGCAACAAAGAAATAATCTTATAAATGTGTTAGAAACAAATGCATGAAGGAAAAAAACATTAAAATACATATCTAAGGGTTCATTTTCCTAACATCACATTATCTGACCTTTTCCGCTTGACTCATACATATACTAGATATTGCAAATAAGGAAATCCATGGGACCTATGTTTCTTTGGGCCTGGCTTACTTCACTTAATATAATTTTTTCCAAGCTTTTCCATTTCCTAACAAATGGGGCAATGTCATTCTTTCTGATGGAGGCATAGAATTCCATTGTGTATATATGTCACATTTTCGTGATCCATTCATCTACTGAGGGGCATCTGGGTTGGTTCCATATCTTAGCTATGGTAAATAATGCTGCAATAAACATAGTTGTGCTGGTAGCTTTAGTGTGGTCTTGTTTGTAAACATATAACGTGTTGAGGAGATGGGGAAAAACAAGTCGTTTAAGGATACAGGTGGACCTGTTGCAACAATGAGAAGTACAAGTTGTCATGTCGAAAACGAGCTTTACAACATTGGTGGGGGGGGGGCAGGAGGGGGGGAGGATTGGGTGGGGATGAGGGGGGGAGGATTGAGTGGGGGGTGAGGGGGGAGGCTGGGAAGGGATGTGAAGGGTAAACAAAGGAGGAGGCTGCAATACTTGATAAGAAATGTACGCATTATCCTGCCCATGTAATTGTAACTCCTCTGTACAGTATGTTCACAAAAAAAAAATAATAAAATAAAATGAAAAAAAATAAGAAAATAAAAAAAAGAAATGTACTCATTATCTTGCCCGGCAATCATTAATCATCAAGAAAATATAAATATTAGACATCACATATTAGAATTTCTCTCATTCCCCAAAAAGATAAAAGCAAAGATTATTGATAAGGGCGTAGACAAAATAGAATATTGTAAACTGTTGGTAGAAATAAAGATCAGAAATGGTAGCATAAACTTAAAAAAAAAAAGTAGAGCTACCAAGCACCTCGCAATCCCATTCCTAGCTATCACCA